AGAATGGCACTGCAAGCGGGCCACTTAGCAGGGTCTCCAGTGTTACTGGCTATTTGAAGCGAGCACACGAAAAGATACCGGCTCCACACAAAGGCTATAGTATCTAGATAACGTGTTGGGTGTCACCCAGCCCACAGCTCTACATATATCTGTTAGCGAGGCACCGTGCACCAATGCCCAGGAAGAAGCAACACTTCTGGTAGAGTGAGATCTCAACTCGAGGGGGCACGGCACGCCTTGGGTCTGATACGCCAAGACGATGGCATCCACTATCGCGTGGGCCATCCTCTGCTTAGAGACAGCCTTCCCTTCTGCTGGCCTCCATAACAGACAAAGAGCTGATCCGTGGTCCTAAGGCTCTGTGTCTGGTCCACGTATTGACGCAAAGTGCGGATGGGACAGAGCAAATCTAGGGCTGTGTCTGCCTCCTCCAGGGACAGCACTTTACCACGTGGTAAACTATGGGCACATATCCGGGGTCTCTGGATGATGTGAGAGTTGGCCGACCCGAATTCTAGGCACTATTAGTCGACCAAAAATGCTTACAGGTCCCCTAACCTCTTGAAGGAAGCCAGCGCAGTAAGGAGCACTGTCTTCATTGACAGGACTTTTAATCCAGCTGATTGCAGCGGTTCAAAGGGGGCTCTCTGCAGTGCCGTTAGCACCAACAAGAGATCCCAAGAGGGTACGGTGTGTACCCCTAAAGAATCTGATGATCAAGTCGTGCTCACCCACCGATTCACAATCTACTGCATCGTGATTTCTGGGTGGAGGGAGAAAGCCTTCGCTCCAACCGTACCTGCAGGAAGGAAAGCTCAGTTCTGATTGGCCATCTCCGGGGGTCTTCCCAACGAGAAGAACACCATTCAACGAACAGGTTCCACTTCCGGGCGTAAGCAGACTGATGCGCACCAATGCTAAACCAACTTCATATGAAGCAATCCAAGCACCGTTACTGCGGCTGTGGATGGCAGCGAAGTGGAACGCAGAGACCCGACTCGGAAGGCATAGCGTCCCAAAGTAGGGTCTGAGTGTGAGTTGCAACTCTTACCTGGTTCCACAGTTGGGCAGAGGGTGCATGAGGAGGCTTCCACAGAAGAGGGGACGGCAAGGCATAGCTTTATACACCGCCAACCGCACCCTCTTGGGATCCAGAGATAGAGAATTTTCTTTTATTGAAAATTACAGAAACAAAACTGAACAAAAGATTCTCCACCCAGCCCTCCTCCGGGGGAGGGAGTGATGGGGTCACCATCTCCCGAAGAGCTGCTCCCTCGATCTCTGTGTCGCCTGTCTCAGGGCCGCTTGCTCTTATGCTTACCGCCTGGTTTGGCAGAGGCCTGGTCAGGCTGGGCGGCCTTCCTACGACCGGCTCCACGCTATGGCCTGAGTGGAGGCTGCTGCTGAGGCTGAGCTGGCAAGGCGGGGGGTGGTTTGGGGGGCTTCTTTTCTCTTTATTCTTGAGTATTTGATGTTTTGTATATATTATCTTTGAACTGATTATGTAATTGGCATTATACATTTACCTGACATAATAAATTGTTACATTTGATTGTATTCTGACTTACTAATTATTAACTTTAGTAGATTATGTTGTATCCATTGTTACTGCAAATCTGCGTCAGATTAGTAAAGGACTAATGTCCAGTTTTGAGAGGAGCATAGGGCACACCATCTGCGATTTTAGAGTTACGGCTAATATTTGGCACTAATTCAAGTGTACTTGGGATGTAAAGACAAAAAGGGACTTTCCGTTTAGGACAGCAAAATGCTGTTTAATATAATGTTACTTTAGTTAAGTGTACGTGGGAAACCATGGCATGACCAAACCAAACTTAACACTAATTACTAAAAAAACTGTTGGAATGTTCTTCGCTAAGTCAAACAAAGTAAAAGATATGCCTAACATCTATTTTAATGGGCAAAAAATTACTATCGTGACAGAGACTAAATATCTAGGGGTGTATTCACACCAGGAAAGTCCGATAGTTCACTTGCTTTGGTCCGGACCAAATTTTTTTTTTTTTGGTACGGTTCGCTTTCACACTGCTCTTTTTGCAAGTGAACCAAAATTTGTAAACAAAACCACACGTGTCCTAAGGTCGTCCATTCATTGGACAAGGATTCTCAAGTAGGGAAATCAGGAAGTGCAAAAAAGGCTTAACGTAAATTAACGCAGCATCATCCTTGTATTGTAGGCTAACTATCGTTACATTATATGAACTGCAAATGCTTTTTTAGCATCTATGCCCGATTAGACTAAAGAGAACGCTCTGTATGTGAATGTCCTGATGCACACACTCATTCATTCATTCATTCCATTCCAATGATGCACACACGACGCGCAGAAAGACACGCAACAGATGTAATGTAGTAGGCTACAACAGATCACTTTCCCATAACGCAACTCCGACTACGGAAGCCTGTTAACTCAAAGGCGCAGTGCTTTCTTGCAATTGGGTCGGTTCATGTTCACACCGTAAACGAACCGTACCAGAGTTCGTTTGGAACCGTACCGAGACCACCTCTTCAGCTGGGTCTCGGTTCGGTTGTTTGGTCCGCACCCGAGTTCGATTGCTGTATTCACACCTGCCCAAAAGGTCCGCACCAAGGGGGGAAACGAACTAGAGTTCGATTCAATCGAACCAAACAAGGCAGGTGTGAATACACCCTAGGTGTCCATCTAGATCAAACGTTAAATTTTAAAAAACATTAAAAAACTGTCTAACTCCATTAAATATAATATTTCTATTTTTAAGTATATTAGGAATAGTTTGACAATTGAGGCATCTTTCATGTATTTTAATGCCATGATTTCTTCTCACATCACTTATTGTTTGTCCCGTTGGTCTCAGGCTGACGAGACTACACTTAAACCGCTCAGATCAGTCTATAATCAGGCGTTAAAGGTGCTTGACAGAAAAGCCCCTCGCTATCATCATTGCAATATTTTACGTAAATACAAAGTATTAAGTTTTGATTCCCTAATTCAATTTACAAATTTGAGAACTGTTTTTAAAACTATTAATAACCTAGCTCGTCCCTCAATGAAAAAATTCATAAAACTTTATTCGGAACAAACGAACCGAACATCACGATCCACTGTTCACAGAAATCTTGCCATCCCGAAAAGATCCTCCGCCTTTGCACAGACAGCTTATTAATTTAAAATCATTAAACAATGGAATCAACTCCCCAACAGTTTAAAGCTGTCTATAGATCTGAACCATTTTTCTCAACACTTAAATAAATATATCCTTGAGAACCAGCTGTGTCAGCATCAGCACATTTAATGTATATATTATGGGTAGAGATGGTCTTTTGAATATGTTCTCTCATTTTGAACATCTGTTTGTTTTTATATGATCTTCGTTGACTAATATTATGTGTAGCCTATTTGCCATTATTATTTTTACTATTGATAGTGGTTTTGTAATGTAATGTTTTAAAAATTGTGTGCACCTGCCCGGGGACTGCGGATGAAAATTAGCTTCGGCTAACTCTGGCACAAAACATCTTTTCGAAAGATTAATGTACTTTGTGCATTGTCCCTGATAAATAAATAAAAATAAAAAAAGCTACTACCAGAGAAGTAATATTGGTCTGCTTATATCTGTAATAGTGGTCATGACCTCTGTCTAAAGAAAATGTTTCTTTAATTCAAGTGTATACAACCAAGGGGGATATACAAAATATCTTAGATTGAGTAAGCATGAATGCGACCGCCTAAGATATTAGCCAATTACCTCTGTTTAGTGACCAAAAACTGAAGAGTTTGTGATCGTGGCGTGGGTGCAATATTAATATTATAATATTGGTTTTAACGGCCGGTGCAAGGACCCTGTGCGACTTTGGCACCCGAATGAACGATTAATAAGAGTAAAGAGCTAAATAGAACAATCAAATGTATTGCTAAACTATTAAATGACCAATAACAAATTGGCATTCCAACCTAAATTCAAGGTGTGATAAATGGAGTCCGATAAAAGCTTAACTGGAATCAAATTACTTTGCCACGGGGAAAAGACAGTAACACCCAGTAAACCCTCACCCGCTTATCGGAAACTGCCGTTGGACCGATTGGACAGGCCTTACACAGTATATGGAGATTATTTCAAAAAGTTTGAAAGTATAGTTATATTTAGGCCAGAGCATGAAACAGCACTCTTTCTTCCCACAGTCGTTTTACATTTATGCATTTGGTAGATGCTTTTCTCCAAAGCAACATTGCATTTCAAGGTACACATTTTTACATTCTTATCATTCTTTGCTTTCTTTGGGAATCGAACCCATGACCTTGGATTTGCAAGCACCAACGCTCTACTGTTTGAGCTACAGGAAAACTAATTTCACTGAAAGTTATGCTCCGTAGACTTAGTAATTATGAATCTATTGTTAAATAAAAATAAAACATGACTAACCCATAATCCTTTTGGACTGTTATGGGCTGAGATGGAATGTTTTTATGTCTGGAGTCCCAGAGACACTTATGTTGTACAAACGTATTTATTACAACAACAAAAAAAGGTTACAAGCTTTAACACACCGTTTTACCATGCTTGTTTACACATGAACTTTTCAGACGTATGAAAAGTTATAGTAATGATGCATGCACACATACACACACACACACACACACACACACACACACAAAAAAGTGAACAAAACAAACCGTTTAGAGAAACGCGTCAGTGTCTAAACAGAAAATCATGTGAAAATGTATGTTTTTACCTGAGGTCTCTGAGGCCCCCCAGAAGAGCAATACATTTTTCATTAATGATTTTTTTCTTTGATTAAATAAAAGTTGAATGAAATCATTATTAATGTTTGTTTATATATAGGAAATGTCAAAGCATCAACCTGAAATATTAAGTGGATTATGTATTTTAGGCTAAGTGCATTTTCTTGTGATTAAAAATGTCTAAATACTATAGTAATTGTGTTATTACATCCTGCTACAAAAATAACATATTTAAACAGTTTTATTGGACTTCTTGGCATAAACAGTGACATAAATACATTTTACAGATATTTTACATTTTTGAGATTTTCCTGCGTATGAGTTTTAGTAGACTATTACGTAATTCATGACTGTTCAATCCATAAACTATTGGATTCAGAAGTGGAGGCACTAGAAAAATGAGCATCCCCATAATCTTTTGCACATCTGTGTTTACGTTTTTGAACCTGTGTGACAAGATGTAGAAAGTTCCAGTAACCTCATATATGATGAAAATGGACAGTTGAGCAACACATGTGTTGATGGCCTTGCTCTTTACATCAGACCTACTCATGACCAAGCAGGTAATCAAAATCTTTACATAGGAAAATACTTGAATGGAAACACTAATAATCTGCATCATGGCTGTGTTGAACAAGCCTATGATATTATTAACTGTGGTATTGTCACAGGTCAGCTTAAGGAGAGAGGGATTTTCACAAAACACATTAAAAATGATAGATCTGCATCTGTAATACTTGCCCTGCAAAGAAAACAGCAAAAGAACGAAAAAAAGGTCAAGGCCCCATACAAAAGCAATAATTCCCATGACAAACCTTGGTGTCATGAGAGCATTGTATCGCAGAGGCATACAAATAGCAATATAGCGATCAAAAGCCATGGCAGCCAGAATGAACAAAACACCACCCCCATACATGTGGAGCAGAAAACCCTGGAGCACACAGAGGGGATAGTATGTAGTATTGGTTTCCGTCATAATGTCAGAAAGAACCTTTGGAAGCATGGAAGTGATTCCAACAAAATCATTCAGTGGAAGACTGAACATAATAAAGTATATTGGCTTATGGAGACTTTGTGTCATAATGATGAGGAGTAACAGGGTCAAATTACAAAAGGCACTGAAAATGTAGATAAAGACGCCAAAGAGAAATATGGGATATTTTGCTCCAATAGGGATGTAAAATGGATCCAGGGTTAGCTCAAAACTAACTATGATGGATAAGTTCTCCATTGTGACTCTGGAATCTGTGGAAAATAAGAGAAAATTAGTACTTTGACATTCATTTCATTAAATCCCCATATTGACCCTTTATGAAATGAAAATCAAACCTTAAAGCATTTGTCAGTAATGTATGTCAGTCACTTACTTCATGCACCCTTGATTATTATCTCTCAATTAAAAAAAGACACTACAGTATCATGTCATCTACAAGGTCAAGTTGAAATGCTTTTGTCTTATATAGACAGTCATCTTACTGACATCATGCACATTATAACCCCTGAAGACAAATTATGTGAAAATGCTAAATACATTTCACAGGCTGGCAATGTTATGACTCAGAATCTTACATACTGCACACTTGACACACACATGCATATCACGTATACTAATTAATTCAAGCACTTAAAAAAAAATCTGTGTACATCTGAAATGTTGCAGTAACTTAATAAAAATGATCAATTGTCAATTTTGAATTCATGGTGACTTGGCGACTAGCATGTTTTCCTTGAATAGAAAAGGAGGTTTATTGATTCCCAAAAGGGGAAAATGTAGTGACTTCGTTGACTAATATTATGTGTAGCCTATTTGCCATTATTATTTTTACTATTGATAGTGGTTTTGTAATGTAATGTTTTAAAAATGGTGTGCACCTGCCCGGGGACTGCGGATGAAAATTAGCTTCGGCTAACTCTGGCACAAAACATCTTTTCGAAAGATTAATGTACTTTGTGCATTGTCCCTGATAAATAAATAAAAATAGGTTTATTGATTCCCAAAAGGGGAAAATGTAGTGATACAAGACAGAACTCATAAGACAGACATACTGACAGCTATGAAAACAAGGCTGCAATATTTAACACTTTTCGTAGTGCATTTAAACCAAGCGGCAACATTCTAATCTGAAAAATGAAGCCTACCCGGAAGTGCGAAAAACTGCAATACATCGAAAATCCGCTAGAGGGAGGTCCCAAAAGGGAGCAAATATCCATAGACCGCATGTTAAAATGTCAGTTTTCACAGCATAAATTTATATGTTTACATGTTGGTCCCATGGACTTTTATTGTATTTTTGGATAGGTCCCGAGTGCCTGACAACTGTGAGGGGGGTGAATTTTTTTCTAACTCGGTAGTTTAGATCGTATTTAGATATAAAATGTATGACAAATAAGCGAGTGATTGACAGCTGATAACGGGCTGCGCCGAGTGGAATTCCTGAAATTTGACGTCTCGGCCATGATCTGACACAACACATCATACCACCTCTGTATCCTTTCTGAACATTTGTATTTGAAATATCGTAAGATTTTCCATGATGGCACCGCCCATACCCCCTATAAACAGCCTCAAAACCGTTCTTCAGAAAGTCTATGGGTGACGTCACAGACGCTTTGTCCATATTTTTTACAGTCTATGATTTAAACACATACCTTGGGTCTTTAGTGACCCGGGACATCATTCACTACCCTTGCCCTCATACATTTTTTTTAAAGTTAGACATCAACCTTCAACTTAGTATTCCTCAATCAATTCATTATAAACAATATAACAAGAAATAAATAATAAAATTTTAAAAGAATGCCTGTTTTCCCATTCATTGTAAAAAATTGTATAGGGTAGCTAACGGCCCGAGGTGTGTAACTGTCACAAGATGAAGAAGAAGACGAAGACTGACGACAGTATTACAATACATAAACAAGGTGTTATTAAACTAGAAGGTAGCAGGTGTAACAGTGTGCACTAACACAAATAACAACTGACAACTGAATTTTAACAAGGAGGAACTTGTCACGATTCATGAATTCGCTGTTTCCTTCATGTCTCGTGTTATTGTTGTTCTGTGAGTATGAGCGCGTGTGAGTGGGCGTTACCGCTCGTGCAGCTGATCAGTTCACCGGCTGATCTCATTATCAGCGCCAGCTGCTGTCAATTCACCTCACTATAAAGACTCATCACAAACTCCTCTCTTTGTCAGATCGTTGGTTTGGTGTCCTCTGTGTCGTGCTTCGTGTTCCTGTTGCAGTCTGTTCCCGTTCGAGTTCCTGTTCGGTGTCTTCGTGTCCTGTCTCGTCTGATGTTCACCTGCACTGGATTCTCTGTCACCCGCTCTGGAATCACCATCACCTGCACGCTGACCACTGAGTCCCTGCGCCACCATCTGTTGTGTTCCTCGAGATTGTCTTTGTGTCTTCTGACTACTAATAAAAGAGTTAACTTGCATTTGCTTCCGCCCTGTTCTTGTGACAGAACTTAAATACATAGTGGTGACGAACTAAATGATGAGCAGCTGAGGTGAAGGGTTAGTGTCCATGGAAACAAATGAGTGTCAGTGAAAGTGAAACTAATAATGAATGGGTCCAGATATCCCTGACAGAACCCCCTGCCCAAGAGGCACAACCTCACCCCGTAATAGAAGAAGAGAGGGAGGGATGGAGAGGGCTTTGGAGGTGGCCGACGCGATGATGCAGTGAAGGAGACAGGAGATGGTTATAGGAGATGGCGAAGGGATGGTGATATTCGGACGACGACGAGAGCCCGGTGGTGATGATGGAAGATGAAAACACAGACCCAGAGCCTAGAGACAACAGTCCAAAGTGGAGATGAGGGAGGGAGGAGCCAAGGTGGAGTAGAGGCTGACGTCAAATTGGGGACGACCGACGGAGGCAGAGCCAATGAATCCCATGGTGCAGACGAAGAGCCGATGGAGCAGAGCGACATCGCTGGCACAGGAGGCCTAGGCGATGCCATCGCAACGGCCGTCTGAGGTGGGACGAGGGGGTCTGGTGGAGCCGAAGGTGGGAGAAGCCAGGGCGGACTACCGTCTTGTTGTCTGATCGAACAAGCACATGGTGGCTCCTTGGGTCTGGGAGGAAGTATTTTAGTGCCTGAAACACCGGCAACATTTCGAGACAATTTATGTGCCACGAGAGATGATGGTCCTGCCACAGACCTTGGGCGACCACTCATGATCGCCCCCCAGCCCGTGAGGGAAGCATCTGTCGTTAGCGTTACACGACGACAAAGAGCTCCCAACACGGGTTCCTGGGACAGGAACCAAGGTTCTTTCGACATGACCAAAGCATGAAGGCAGCGCCATGTGACTTTGATCGTGCAAAGCGGGTTTCCCCTCGGGGAAAACCCCTTGGTTCTGAGCCACCACTGTAACGGTTTCATGTACAGCAGGCCGCAAGGTATAACGTTGGACGCTGCTGCCATCAGACCTAACAGTCTCTGAAACTGCTTTACAGTGAGCAGCTGGCCTAGCTTCACTTGCTTTATGGCTGAGAGAATGGAAGCAATACGAGCAGACGACAGCCGCGCCTGCATCGTCGTCGAATCCCATATAACACCCAAAAAAGAGGTCCTCTGTGATGGAGATAACACGCTTTTCTTGGCATTCAGCCTCAACCCTAACTTCCTGATGTGGGCGAGAACATCATCTCGATGCCGAACCGCCTGATGCTCCGTTTGAGCTAGAATCAACCAATCGTCAATATAGTTCAGGATACGAATGCCCTGGAGGCGCAGTTGAACTAACACTGCATCCATGCACTTCGTGAATGTGCAGGGTGACAAGGCTAGACCGAACGGAAGAACACGATATTGGTACGCTTCGCCCCCGAAAGCGAACCTCAGGAACTTCCTGTGTTGTGGAAGGATGGAAATGTGGAAATGTGGAAGTACGCGTCCAATCCTCGGATCTGATTTGTGACACGATCTGCTTGAGAGTGAGCATCTTGAACTTGAGCTTCCCTACTGAGCGATTTAACAGGCGCCGATCTAAGATTGGACGCAACCCCCCCATTCTTCTTTGGAACGATGAAATATCGGCTATAATAACCTGACTCCTTGCCGGGAGGAGGAACCGGTTCTATAGCCTCCTTTTGCAGGAGTGTTTACACCTCCTGTTCCATTACCAGAGCCTGCTCGGGGCCCACCACTGTGGGCAGGACCCCTACGAATCGAGGTGGCAGAGACCTGAACTGTATAGCATAACCGTTTTCGATCATTTGCAGGACCCAACGAGATATTTTTGGAAGGCTTTTCCACTCTGCCAGAAAATCTACTAAGGGTACCAGTCTCTCGAGACTGGCCTCTGGAGTATTTTGAACAGCAAACACAGCGCCCTGTAACGGCGCACCGGCAAGGAACAACTGGTTTGACCAGCCAGAGGCGTCAGGACTTCTTCTTTGCCGAAGCCTTCTTGGCCATAATAACTGTCCTGTTACGACCCTAAGGGTCATGTGTTTGGTTGGGGTGTGTTTCTTTCAGAATCAGATCAGTTTTGCCGGAAGACTGAGAGTGCTGCATCTGGTCCCACTGTTTGGATGGGGGGGGGGCGAGACGCGACACTCTGCTTCTGTTGTGCCCTATGCGAGGAGCTGGATGACGGCCTGGACTGCTCCCGCCCAGCAGTCCCTGGGACGTGAATTTTGAGAGGCATAAACTTCTGGAACGCCGCCGCCTGCTTTTTCTCTTCCTGAAACCTATCGATGACAGTGTTGACGGAGTCACCGAATAGGCCAGCGGGGCGTCCAGAAAAAAAGCTTTATCCTTCTCCTTCATGCCAGAGAGATTTAACCATAAATGTCTCTCTGCAGCCACCAGGGCTGCCACAGTACGGCCCATTAGCTTGGCCGACTCCTTGGTGGCACGCAGAGATAAATTTGCAGCCTGACGCAGTTCGCGAACTACGTCAGTGCTGACCTCCTGACTCTCACTCACGTCCTTTAATAATTCAGCCTGGTATGCCTGCAAGATGGACATCGTATGCAGGCATGCCGCGGCCTGATCCGCCGCCGAATACGATTTACCCACCAAAGCCGAAGTGCTTCTAAGAGGCTTGGAGGGTAACGCCGGTGCTTTAAAGGACGATACAGCCTCGGCGGAGAGGTGACTAGCAAGCACCTCTTCCGCTTTGGGCATCGCCCCATAACCATAACACTTAGCCCCCACGATACTCGAATAAGTGGAAGTTTGGGGGCTAAAAATACGGTAAGACACCGGTTTCTTCCACGACCTCGACACCACGGTGTGGAGATCGGGAAAGAACGGCTAGCACCGGCGTGGAGGTTGTGTGCAGGAAGGCAAAAATCTCTCATTTTGATCTTTCTTTAGACTCCTGCCTAACAGCTGGCCACTCAATGCTTAGCTTAGAAACAGCACGAGTGAGCACCTCCATCAGCTCCTCACTTTTGGGAGAATG